AGCACTAGCCTTGAAGTAAAGAGCTGAGGGACAGTGCCCAGGCCCAGAGTTCAGGCCCACGACCAGACCAAAAAAAACCAAAAACACTCCTATAGGTCCAGAGTTCAAAACCAGGGTGTCTGCTGGGAAGAAGATCTCCTCTGTCTGGATGACTAAACAAGTTTGTCTGTTTGTTTTGTGCCAGTCCTGGGGCTTGAACTCAAGGTCTAGTCCCTGAACTTCTAGGCCTAAGAATAGTGCTCTACCACTTGAGCCATAGCTCTACTTCTGGCTTAGTGTTAATTTAGAGGTAAGAGTCTCACAGACATTTCCTGCCCAGGCCAGCTTAGAATCTCAATCCTCAGATCTCAGCCTCCTGTAGCTAGCATCACAGGTATGAGCCACCAGAGCCTGGCTCGATATATTTTTAACAAGTAAAAATATCTTAAAATGTATTCATGCTTTTTATTTTGCAGTTAGATGTTTTGCTGTAAATTTAACACAGGGAGCATTTTCCCATCTTGTTCAGAGAGCATGACTAGTTCATTTAGCTAAAGTTATACTTGGTTTACTGTCTCCGGGAAAGCATGGTGACTACACCGTTAAAAGAGGAAACCTGATTTTTCCCTCAGTCATATTTGCACCACATTTTCCATAAACAAATCTAATAGCAGAAAATCAACTTCAAACTTAATATAAAGAGTACCTTGTAAAACAGTCAATAAAATCTCATTGTTAGAAGCCTCTATAAAAATAAATGTATATGATTTTCAAGCTTTTATAAGAGAAACCAAAAACTGCCTCCAGAATTTTAAAGAAATATCTAAAGAGATATTTATGACTCGAGTCAGAAATTACTCCTTTCTTGTAACAATTTCAAACTAAACAAACCAGGACCTGCTTTCTTCCTGAAGTGGACCCTGTTGAAAATCTGGGTTTCCTCAACATGATTTTATTAAGTATATTATATAGTGACTCAATCCAGAACAATATACAGCTACACAAAAATCATTTAATCCTAAGGATGTCTTAAGTCTACTGAAACCAATATAATGATATCTACACACATCTGTGTTGTATGTGGAAGGTTAGTAGCTTGATGTAGGAGAAAATTAACCTTGTTAAAATTTTTAACAGGCTGTTTACCTCTTACCATTAAAAAAAAAACTAAAGAAATAACCTACAAATTTTTATCAAGGAATATTCATGGTCTGTGCTATGGTGCCCTCTATTGAACACAAAGATTTATAAAAATTGTGTGTGTGTGTGTGTGTGTGTGTGTGTGTTTAAAACTAGCTGTAGTATTTTCATTGATAGTCTTTGACAGGGAAGAATGAGGGAAGGAGGAAAGGCAGGAAAAAGGAGAGAAGGAGGGAAGGAGGAAGGAATGAGAGAGGCAAGGACTAATTATATAGATATAAACCAAATATAAAAGTTCAAGTTTTAGGGTGAATACAGTTGTAGCAATGGGCTTTATTCAATAAAGAAAGAAAGCCAGTTCCTATTAATCATATAAAATAAACCTAAAAAATTAGTAGGAATTCTAATATACTGTTGAGACTTAGGAACAGAGTTTGTAATTTTAGTTTATAACTTTCCTTTTCCATAACTAGTACAATTGCTTTCAATTGCAATTAGGAGAAAGAATATAAAAGAAAGATTACAGTCAAAATTGAGGAGAAATAAATATATCTGAAAAAGCTCACAACCATACTGACCAAATTTCCCCAGCAATTAAGAGTTCCGCTAATCATATGTTTGCCAAGACTTACAACAAATGTAATATAGTAAGTATAAAACCTCTTTTCTTATAATTTACCTATAAAATTACCCAATTCCTAAGTGCCTTGAAGTATTGAGATAAGACATGTAAAATACCAAACCTAGCTAATGTTCAATAAACAGTATATTCTTGTTTGACACCTAATCAAAGAAACAACTTTCTCATTCCTCTATAAAGATCACCCTGAGGGGCTGGGAATGCGGCTTAGTGGTAGAGTGCTTGCCTAGCATGCCTGAAACCCGGGGTTTGATTCCTCAGTACCACATAAACAGAAAAAGCTGAAAGTAGCACTGTGGCTCAAGTGGTAGGTAGAATGCTAGCCTTGAGCAAAATAAACTCAGGGACAGGCCCTGAGGTCAAGCCCAGGACTGGCAAAAAAAAAAAAAAGAAAGAAAAAGATCAACCTGAGTCTGTATTTGGCTTATATTAAATAATGTATTATTTCACCAATGACCTTAAAGTGAAAAAAAATAGTAGTTTTAATCTTCTATATACAGGTAGATACAAAGAGATGTTTTGGTTTTTACAGAGTTTGAACATTTGTAGTTCTCAAATTCACAATTTCCCAACTTACATTAAAAATAGATTTAAAAAATATGTTGATATCTATAACGCAAGCACATTGCAGTATTAATGCAATACAAGCTACTGATTCATGGCCCTCCTGAGCTGGTAACCAATTACCTCAAAGGACTCAAGGTGAGGTCAGGCACAGTGCTGCATTGCATTATGATGTCCAGTTTCCCTACATGGCTTGGGCAGGGTGCAGGGAAGGGGCTTCCAGGGGTCAAACCATGCATGATGCTACTTATACACAAACTGACAAAGATCCAGAAAGCTGTTCATGGACATCAGAGACACCAAAAGGAGGGGCTCAGAAGTTATCAGGCCTGTAACTAACTGGGTGGCATTAGAATCCTTCTTTCCTTCAGGTTCAAGCCACAGAGAAGTATCAGCTTTTTTTTTTTTTAACATGAAGCAAATTAGTTTTGAGATAAGTAACAACATGACAAGAGAGTTGCTCGTCTGCTCCATGACTGGACTCCTACATGACAATCCAGATCTGATTTTAAGGACTTTACCCACAGCTCTGATAAGGACACAGTCTTCTACACTGGAATGAAAGCTTTGAGAAAATATAGACTTGCCTGGCACAAAGCCTGACCCAGAGTAGTCACTTAATAAATATCTACTGATTGAAGAATGCTCACATGGCTTTCAGAGTCCTTTTTGAGCAACCATCTGATCAATATAACCCCAATGATGTTGGCTATGTGTAAGGGATATTAGCCTACTTCTCAAAAAGCCAAAGTAGATCTGAGACCCAAAAGAATCAGATGACTGTTCCAAGGTTGTGTGCCTAGGAAAAAAATGAAGAGCCAGGACTAATGGAAGATCCAGACCCCAGCAACTTGAGCTCCTAAACCACTACAACATCTGCATCAAACAGCCAGCAACAGCCAAAAAAGAAAGCACAAAAATAACTTGCACAAGCATAATCTCTGGTGGCCACAGGACCCTTACTGGGGTTTAATACTGGTAGATCAACTGTGGATAAAGAGATTCTGTTCAAAATAATGAAGTGATGTCTTAACAAAAACACACGGCCTATACTTAACTAGTGATATTAACACACTAATACACTTACTGCCTTTTAATGTCACATGAAGCGCTTTCTCCATAGCAGCTCCCCAGTGCTGGCTGGGAACAGGATTCAGCTGCCCCTGCCCTCTCCCCCATAATGGTGACCAGGCTGCAGCTTTCTTTGGAGCAGCATCTGGAGTAGAGGCTACTGTATAAACTTGAGTTACATCTTAAGGGACCAGGCCATCAGCCACCTGGGTACCATAGAGACAACAATTCAAGTCAGAGCTGTCCCTGAAGGGAAAGAGCAGAAAAAATTCAACCAGCTCTTTGTTCTTTCATGCTTGTGATACCCCAAATCAAAATACCACTGTAACATTTTTGAAGGATTTGCCTCCATTATTCAGTCCTTCTGGTCTCTTTATTTATTCCTCTGGCTTCTTTTCCTCTCCCTGTCCTCCAATTTATAAGCCTGAGTCTTTCTGCCTATCTCTGTGACCCTTTCAAAGGAAAGGCACTATGCAAATCTAATAGAAATAAGCATTAATATTCATGTGCACACTTAATACCCAAGTCCTTTATGAGCCATATGGGGAGAAGCAGTATATTATTTCAGGCTAGTTCTGAGCTGCTATCTAGTGAACTCAAAAGGAGATGACTGAAGATCTTGAAACTACTGGGAAAAACATGGACATTCAGGAGACAGGACCCTGCCTCTAGGACTCAGCCTATTTACTTCTCTATACGATGGAAAAGTAGAAAAATAGGCTCAAAGCTGTTCAAGTCTAAGTGTATTAAAATAATAATGGCCAACATTCAGACTTTAGGTAACAGACACATTCTATGCCATACACTGCTGTGCTTTTGGTTCATTAATACATTTAATCCTCTCAGAGTCAAAGGCACTATTATTACTCCTATTTTACAAGTGAGAAAACACAGGCATAGGCAAGGAAGACTTGCCTACAACTCCAGCTAATTAATGGTAGAACCAGGATTGGAATCCTCAACAGCCTGCCCTCAGAATCTGTGTGCAAACCTGTGTTCACCAAGCCTCCTGGGGGGATGGGCATTCTGGCATTCCAAAGACAAGACAAAGGGAAATCCTCATGGTCTGAATTCAAATAGCTCTACTGGAAGTACCCACCGTCACAAAATAATTCTGGAAAAGACCCTCAAAGATTATTCAAATGCCACCAAACACTCCTATATAAATACCCATCCCCCACCCCCTGCCCCACTGTGCAAGCAGAGGCAAGAATTAAGCCACGCACATAGAAGAGCTCAGAAGTGTTGTATTAACAGCCAGTTTTAAAGATGTACTATAAATGGAGACAGTTTTGGAGACATGCCTTTTATAATAAATACATTTGTTTCCTGGGAAATTTTACTTTTGTTAGCTGAACCCCCAAAGGAATGCCTTTGTGCTTTACATCTTAAGAAACTATGTATTTCTTCTCCAATTCAATTTATTGTTGCCTTCTAAACAGCCTCCATCCCAGATGCGTACTATATAATGTGAGCCACAAGATGGTGCTGTAATACAGGAAATGAATTTGTGAGCCTCACTGGAGAGAGGACGATTAGCATTTCCAACAGTATACCCTTCCCCACAGGACCACTCTGTCTGAACACAGAGTTTCTGTACACTCACTTTCTGAGGAAATCTTCCAAACCCTGACGACGCTGATCAACATGCTGGCGGTTGTTCATATTGAAAAATAGGTTTTTCGATGGCAATTCTGGCACTTGCCTTATAAAAAAGAAAAAAAACACACAGGTTTTAATGACCACATCAAGTTGCCTTAGTTTGAGAAATCCCCACAGTGAAGACAAATTTTGTATGACAGTAATTATTACACACCTACTCCACATAACTTATTATTGTATGTCATATAATAAGGGTACATGCAAATCAATTAAAGAAAACCCCAACTTTAAACATATTGGGAGTCTTTCATGATCAATATCCATAAAAGTAGGTGTAATCAAGTGACAAATTTTAACTTCAGATGCAGTATCTATAAAATTTAAACTGGCAAATTGCAATCAAGAAGAATACTTAGGGGCTGGGAAGGTGGCTCAGTGGTAGAGCACTTGCCTTGCATGCATGAGGCCCCGGGGTTCGATTCCTCAGCACCACATAAGCAAAAAGAAAAAAGCCGGAAGTGGCGCTGTGGCTCAAGTGGTACAGCGCTAGCCTTGAGCTGAAGAGCTGAGGGACAGTGCCCAGGCCCAGAGTTCAGGCCCCACGACCGGACCCAAAAAAAGAAGAAGACCTATAAAATGCTTTCTGTCTTGTATTTCTTAATGCATACCAATTTTTAGTTATTGACTATCAAGATAAAGGATCAATAATCTCTTTAAATTACTTACACCAGCAACGCATTACTTTGGAGTCTTTGCCTCAGCCATACAAATTCTCTGTATCTTCTTCGCACACAGGATGTTTTCATTGTAAAACACATACTATTTGTCTGTACGGAAGAATAGAAAAATAAGGCCTCACCTGAGGGAAAACAAGTTTCCTTATACTTATAAACTGAAATATGACCTAAATATTTATTTTTACTACGATGTAAACCAACCAAACTAAGTTGACATTTACACTAGCACTCTAAACTATTTCATGTAACTATCCAAAATCTCAACCCTGAAGGCAGCTGAGATGACATGAATGAGTAGTAACACCCTGGAGAAGGCATGGCCCAAGCACACCTTGGGTCCTGGAGGACCTCCTGCCCTCCTAATAGCAAGTACTGCTTTCAAGGATGAGTCATAAATAATCAATCCTGCTGGGTGCAATGGTACACATACATGTACCAACATTTGAGAGGCAGAGGTGGGAAAATGGTAAGTCTTGTCTCAAAAAATAAAATAATAAAGAAATGTTTAACGCCATCCATGTAGCTGGAGCCATCTTTGAGGACTAAAAACAGCTTCCTTGTACCCTTCCACAAGACATGCCAGAGGCCTACATGCTGACATGCCATCCCTCGAGATCATGCCAGGCACTAGGCATCCTGGAATCATGACTCAACTAGAGAATGGCATTTCCCTGCTCTCCAGACGTGGAAGGGAGCCTTGTGTGACACACAGATGAACAGACAGATTCCAGTACCACTCTGTTCCAGGGCACGGCACTTGAACTTTAGTTTCTTTTTTTCTTTCCTTTTTGTGCCAGTACTGAGGGTTGAACTCAGGGCCTGAGAGCTGTACTTGAGCTTCTGTGCTCAAGACAAGTGCTCAACCACTTGAGCCACAGCTCTATCCCCAGAGTTTTGGTGGTTAAATGGAGATAAGAGTCTCATGAACTCTCCTGCCTGGGCTGGCTTTGAACCTCAATCCTCAGACCTCAGGCTTCTGAGACGCTAGGATTATAAGTGTGACCCACCAACACCTGCAAACCTCAGTGTCTTGAGTGGCAAGACAAGGTAGTTATAAGAATCCACAGCAAGCACTTGGCAAATAATACCCATTAATATTCTTACTAGTTGCTAGCTGTCTGTTTCCTTGTAGCTACTCTGAAATAAATACACTTGGAAAAAACAAACAAACAAAAACCACTAGCAGAGTTCCCAGCATAAGCTAAGCTATCATGCTCTCATTTTGGTAAACAGATAGGTAAATATTTTTCTTTGGAAAATCAAGAGACTGACAAATATGTTGAAATTTTACTATACAAACTGTGGGTGGCATTGCAGGGAAAAACTGAGAGAGGGAAGGGATAACAGTGTCCAAAAAGAAATGTACTCTTTACCTCATTCATGTAACTGTAACCCCTCTCTATAATAATAACACTTTATTTTTTAGTAACACTTAACTTTTTAAAATAAGGATATCTCTCTTATCTATATTTTTATGAAATTGTACTTCATAATCTTTGCCAAAGGAGAAACGAAATATTTGCCACTAACATTTCTATCTAAAAATAATACTAAGAGGGCAAGAAGAGGAAGGACACATAAATGGAGGAAAGAAGGGTCATTATATTTGATGTACATTATGTAAAAGTTGAACTACACAACTTGGGGGTATGGATGGAATTAGGAGAAATGGGTGAGAATGTCAGAAGGAGCAACCTTGATCAAAATGCATTTACTCACAATCTGACTTGTGGAATTGAAACTCCTTCATGCAACTATTTAAAGCAAAAATTAAAAATAATATAAAAAATAAAATTCTACTCTTCCAGTTAACAAGCTTAGCAGTTGTTACTGTCCCTAGGGAATTAAGTGCGTATCAGCACTTAAACTGTTTAAACATGTTTAAACTGTTTTTATGAAATAGATGGTACCATTCACGATATTCTTCAACTTCATAAGATTCAGAAAAATCTCAGGTTGTACAGAGGTTAAGAGACTCACCTCCAGAACAGCCACTGGTCTGAATCCAGACAACAAAACATGCTAAAGGGAGCCTAGCATGAGCATTCTGTGGATGGATTTAAGACCTCATCAAGCTCAGCCTAATGTGCTCCTGGGGGACTAAGCTAGCAGGCTGTGTTACATAGAATTAGTGCCCTAACGAGCAGGCATTCTCTCATTTCCCTTCCCCAGAGAGTACTGGAGACACTGCAGGGACTCCTGATATTGTGGGTACAGGCTAGGTCCATTTAAATTCCTTAATTTCTTACTCATCGTCATTGTGGATGTCAGAAAGGAAAGATCTATCTGGTTATGCCAGAGTAAGGTCCATCCATGTGCCTTTCATTCACAGGGCAGACTCTAGAGAATGGATGTTAACTACCCAGATCTATCATCTACTGGTTTAAAATTCCAAGTAAATGTTGAGATTTCTGGGCCACCTGACATTAGATCCCTTGAGTTTAATTTAAGTGAGATAATCCCCAGTTTCTCTGCCTGCAAGGCTCCAAGGATATGGTTCATAGAGGCCATGGAGAATTCTACCCCTAACATTCACTTTTAATTGGACAACAGGTAGAAGACTCAGCAAGATCAGATATGCCGAGTTCACTGATTAATTTCCCTTAAATCAGCTTGCTTTGCTAGCCACCAAGCCAAGAAAATGCTTTGTCCATTTATCAGATGCAAGTAATATCTGTGAAGCTCCATCATTTGTAGTACCAGATAAGAGATTCCTGAACTCACATCACACAGAGAATCATTTGTACAATCATCTATTTCCTTGTTTTCTAAGAGTAATTAAATTTCATGCCTCCTATAAGGTATGTGAGAAAGACAAAATTCATAAGATATTTCATTTTATTTCAAACGCTTGTTCTTATATGTTCCTAATTTTCCTACACAGAATGCATCAATGTTGTGAACTGCTTGTAGGAAAAGAAAACAAAGCAAAATAAAAATATGGAGCATATCCTGACAAGAACCTACAACACTATTGTTCCCCTCTCCCACTCCTCCTACCCCTGCAAAAAAAAAAAAAAAAAAGCAGTTCTGAGTATTTGGCTTTATGTTCCAAGTTAGGGAGTTATAAAAGGAAGAAAAAAAGAAAAGAAAAAAGAATGATAGTCTTATGGTCTTAATGAGTGGTGTTTGGATGTCTACTGATACCAATTTAGCTATGTGCAATGGTGAAATAAAATGATGGGTAATTTTTGCTTTCCTGTACTATGCTGTCTGGGCCAGGAGAAGACTGGAGACTGGAAAGGAGAATAGCACCAAGCTAGAGATATTTACTACCTGCCCTTTCCAGAAAAGTTGGCTGGTCTGAGTTCAAGATGATCACTGCAGGCAACAGACCACATAAACTTTATCAACATTATGATACAATATAATTTCCAAATAAGGCATATAATTTCCAGCTGCTTACTCATCAATTAACTGTTTGAAATCTAGACTAGTGCAACTTAACTGTACATATTCATTTCCTACTTTTAGACTCTCTATATAAAATATTACACATCCGGGCTGGGAAGGTGGCTCAGTGGTAGAGCGCTTGCCTTGCATTGCCTGAGGCCCTGGGTTCAATTCCTCAGCACCACATAAGCAAAAAGAAAAAAGCCAGAAGTGGCACTGTGGC